GGGGGGGGGGGCGGAGGTGGAGCTACCTTTATTAAATTCTTTATTTTTTAATTACAATAAATATTAAACTATAAAGATATTAGAGAAATAGCTTCCTAGAAAAAGTTCTAATTTTAGTTCTATAAATGTTAAAATTTTAATCAGTTTAAATTTAGTAAATTTAAAACTTGTGTTATTTTTCTTTAATATGGCGCGAAACGAGAAAATGGTAATGTGTATTGCAAACTTTTAATATTATTCCCTCCCAGTTTCAGCATTTTACAGTTCTACAAATTAGGGAGGAGCATTGTTGGAGGTCCTGTTTTAAATACTAGCTGAAGGTTTTTTATTTTTAAGGTGCTTTATTAGAATTTGAGATGTTTATTACATTTGTAGTCCATGAAAGCTTTTTTATATTATGCAGATTGAAAACCTTTAAAATAAAAATAGAACTTTGAATGGTTAAAAACGAGCCTCTAAACGATGGATATACTTATTCTCCATACCCCTAGTTTTATTACAATAGTAAACTTTTTGAAATATAAATACTTTTTTGATGATTAAAACAAGAGATGATAATAAGTGTATTTTTCTTGGTTATTTAAAACTTAACCAACTCAAATTTACTAATGGTGTAAATCTTCATAGTTTGTCCACTGATTACCCGTCCTTTGTCGTAAATTACGATTTTAGCTATTTTTCCCGTGGTCCTCCTGAATTTTCTCAATTTAAAATTTGAGGCAAATCAGTCTAGGGGTTCATGAGTTATGATCACAAACAAACAAAAAAACAAACTAACATTATATATATAAAAATAGTCCAAATATTAGATGCATAATCTGAGATGTTTACAAAAGGAACATGTGTTAATTGTAATAGTAGTAGGGGCACCACAGGATATACTCTAGATGTTCTAATCCCCCCATCCCCAGATTAAAACCAGGGGGGGGGGCTACCTTAATTTTATAGATAATAAAAAGTGTGTTTTATTTATTCTAAAAATTAATTTTTTCCATAAACCCAAAGTTTCTTTGCTCACTTTGAAAACTTAGATCATTTGATTTAAAAGAATTGATATCTAAGGTCTACAACATTGGGTTGCAAAGTTATAGGGATTAGAAATTCAGAGTTTGTTGCAAAGACTCAATTCCTTTCTATTGACAGCTTTTTAAAGTTTAGAGACAGTTCATGTTCGTTCATATTTGTCTCTGATCTTACTTAGCCACAAATATCCAGTATAAATGATAAAAATTTATTAGCTCCTTAGAATACCTCATGTAGCAAATTTGCTCATTAAAATACCTAATGTAGCAAATTTTGCTCATTTGAATACCTCATATAGCAAATTTTGCTCATTAGAATACCTCATGTAGCAAATTTTGCTCATTAGAATACCTCATGTAGCAAATTTTGCTCTTCAGAATACCTCATCTAGCAAATTTTACTCTTTAGAATACCTCATCTAGCAAATTTTGCTCTTTAGAATACCTCATGTAGCAAATTTTGCTCATTAGAATACCTCATGTAGCAAATTTGCTCATTAAAATACCTCATGTAGCAAATTTTGCTCATTTGAATACCTTATGTAGCAAATTTTGCTCATTAGAATACCTCATGTATTAAATTTTGCTCATTAGAATACCTCATGTAGCAAATTTTGCTCTTTAGAATACCTCATCTAGCAAATTTTGCTACAAGTTTTATCTCAATTTCTTTTGATGAAATATAAAGGAAGTGTCAAAAAACGTTACTGATTTTTTTGCTAATATTTCGGTAAAATAATTACTTCTTGGCTATTTTGTATAAAAAAACTATAAGTAAATCAGACTGACTACACCCCTGTCAACACTCTAGTGTCCAATCTGTAAGGCAACAGTGTAGTGTTAAGACTGGAGAATAATACAATAATGAAATCTTGTGACGTAAACTTTTATGTAATTGAAAACAGTTAGAAAGGAACAGAACACTTGTCTCAGACTCCGATGTTTTTTTTTGATTTACGAAGATTTAAAGTGTCTTTACCTTAGTAATAGTTGGTGGTATTTTGTATTATTTGTACTTTCATGCCAGGACAAGGGCTAATTCGTAATTATTGTTTCTAAAAAAGTCTTGCTGAATTGAATTTTGCAAATTATTCCTAAATCAATTTCTAAATTATTTCGGCTTATTTATAATATCAGTGTTTTTTTAAACCTAATGGTGCTAGCCTTTAATATTTTAATCTTTATTATTGGACTTGAAAAATTTAAAGTTTGAAATATCTAAGGGCTGCGACATCAGGTTGAGAAGATATACGAATTATAGTTTCAGTTGAGTTATATATTTAATCAACCGTAGATCAATGCACATAAATGGAAACGTAATTAAAAATGGCCTTCGATCCATTTGTAGAAGGCATGTCCAATTTACAACGCACATCAAAATTAAATTAAAATCTTAAATGTCTATCAGTATAACTGCTGTTAATGAAAAGCTATTCAAAAGAACAAAAATGTTTTAAATTTCAAATATGTTATCGAAGAAATTTTCTGTTCTCGTACCTCAGCGTAAAATTAAAACTAGAAGAGTTACGACTGTAAAGTTGTAACAGTAGTTTTGCAAAAACCTTATCTTCTCCTCTTGGATCTGCAGTGAACGGTAAACCCCGGATTACTTTTTTTAAGAAATGGGTTTCTTTCAATTGGGGGTTTTCTATAAAAGTGACTTAGAGATTTGCGAACATGACACGCACCTCTGACCCTTTAGTAAAAGTAAATTTAGCCTAAAGTCTGACCGCGTCAACCTCTTATGCACCGGCTAGTCCTATTGAGTGTCTGCTTTTTTACCCAATGTCTGGGCGATACAGTACAAACTGGGACCGGAAAGGTTGACCCGGCTAGGAAATTCAAATGTACTACGACTGCCTGTGAGGAACAATGGAAGAAATTGTGAGAAATTTAAAGGGTACCGTTGTAAATCGGACATGGCCCTCTTCCAATGGAGGCCACTTTAATTTAAGTTTTATAAACGTAATAAAAACAATAAAAATAAAGCAAAATTAAAAAATTTTCTGAAATAACTTTGACATGAATCTTACTCTTCTTTTATTTATATTTTTAACATTATTTTGATGTTTATTTACCCCCCCCCCCCCTCCATTAAAATTGTGTATGCCTCTAGAGGACCGACGAGTCTAATGTTTGCCAAAATAAACAAATATTTAAATGTCGAGTGATGTCCATTTGAAGTTTCTGCTCGGCGGAGTCAAAAACAAAATTGAAAGGAAAACTCCACAAAGAAATGGTAGGACTAAGAGCTTGGATTTTGATTTGAAAAGGAAATGAGTCTTTGTCACAAACGCTAATTTTCTAATCCTTATATCTTTGCAACCCAATGTCGTAGATCTTAGACTATGTTAGATCAAATAGTTTAAGTTTGAAATATCAAAGGTTTACAAGTTGCAAAGTTATACGGATTAGCAAATCTGATTTTGTGGCAAAGAATCAATTCATTTGCTTTGTGGATTAAAATATATATTTTCTGTTTCATTGCATTTAGATTTACTTTCATTAAATTAAATTATTGATTCAATATGAATTATAAATAGATTCTATTTTCGTGCGAAGTAAAATTTCAAAATTAACTTTAAAATGATGATATTTAAGTAGTATATTAAGAGTAGTGTTGGAAAGGGTTTTTGATAAAGTTTTAGATCAGGTTGGGTTTTTTAAATTTTTTAAAGGGAGTGTGCGTGTTTTAATTAAAGTGGACGTGCTTATCAAAATTATCTAAAATTCGGGTTAAAGGGACTGTCATTTTTTTCAAGTTACCCTTCATTTAAGGAAGGACATGCTGGATTTAGGACAATACTCATTAAAGGTGCATTAACTCAAGGTTATAATGCAAGGAAAGTTGTTTCAGAGGTGTACGCATCTTTTGTACTGCAGTATACTGTCTCTGGGCGGTAATGTAAACACAAGACGGATGTCGAAGCCTGACACGGAATCCATCTTTCACATAAAAATCGATGAAATATTCTGGTCATAGGAAACTATTA